ATCCCAACTATTTTACCCCTCCATGAAAAATTCATGATAGTATTTCATGAGGATGCCAGGGGCAGGGCGCTCAGTGCCGCCACCGTTATTAGAACAGATGAAGTTTGAGTAATTATGCCACAAATAGTGGTGGCGGGTGTGATTTCTGAGCGGGTGCGCATCCATGTCGCATGGCCTCATTAGACCAGTGAGATCTGAGTGTGGAGCCACATTAAGCTGCACTTCTGAACACACATTTCCTTCCCGACAAGCTCTGTAGGCAAAACGGATGCTCATCTGTGATTTCGACATCCTTTATGCCTTTTAGGGAGTTTAACAGATATTCCAAATGAGAAAAAAAGTGCATTTTGGAGTAGTTTGGAAGTGTTTGTTTTTCAAGCATCAAAGGGATGTGAAACTGTCATTGCTTTATCTTATGTCTATGTTTTTATCAAACTCCCCAGTTTAAAAGCAAGATGCAGTGCAGGTTTAGTGTTTGTTTGTTTGTTTGTTTGTTTGTTTGTTTGTTTGTTATCAAACTGCTATTAGATTTTAGATTTTAGAAAATTAGTAAATTATTTTAGCACTTTTTATGTGTTACGTTTAGTTGATTATGTTTGTTTATAAATAATAATACAATTATTATTATTATTATTATTATTATTATTATTATTATTATTATTATTATTATTATTATTCATTCATTCATTTTCTTGTCGGCTTAATCCCTTATTATTATTATTATTATTATTATTATTATTAATATTAGTAGTAGTAGTAGTAGCAGTAGTAGTAGTAGTAATAGTAGTAGTAGCAGCAGCAGTAGTAGTAGTTTTCTTATTTAAAATAGTTATTATTATTTATTGTAGAAATATTTTTAGTTTTATTTTTGCATATAGTTTTTTACAATAAACAGAATGATATTGAATGATAATAACAGTAACTAATTACATGTTTAATAATACATAATAACAAGTTTAAGGTTGAGTTTGTTTGAGATTAAGGTTAAAGTTAAGTTTGAGGTTAAGTTTTGACCTATGCTTGACTTGAGGTTGAGTTTGAGATTGAGTTTGACTTAAGTGTGACTTGAGGTTGAGTTTGAGTTTGATTTGAGGTTGAGTTTGAGTTTAACTAGAGGTTGAGTTTGACTTGAGTTTGATGACAGGTTGCGTTTAAGATTGAGTTTACTTGAGTTTGACTTGAGGTTGAGTTTGAGATCGAGTTTGACGAGTTTGACTTGAGGTTGAGTTTGAGTTTGACTGGAGGTTGAGGTTGACTTGAGTTTGACTTGAGGTTGAGTTTGGGTTTGGCTTGAGGTTGAATTTGAGTTTGACTTGAGGTTGAGTTTGACTTTAGGTTGATGTTTAGTTTGAATTTGACTTGAGGTTGAAGTTTACTTTGAGGTTGACTTGAGGTTGAGGTTGAGTTTGACTTGAGGTTGAGTTTAACTTAGGGTTGAATTTGACTTTTACTTTAGTTTGAGTTTTACTTTAGGTTGAGGTTGAGTTTGACTTTGACTTGAGGTTGAGTTTGACTTGATGTTGAGTTGAGATTGACTTGAGATTAAGATTGAGTTTGAGTTGAACATGAGTTGACTTGAATTTGAGGTTGAGTTTGTCCTGAGTTTGACTTGAGGTTGAGTTAGAGATTGAGTTTGAGCTTGACTTGAGGTTAAGGTAGAGATTGAGTTTGAGTTTGACTTGAGGTTGAGTTTGACTTGAAGTTGAGTTTGAAATTAAGTTTGACTTGAGGTTAAGGTTAAGTTTGACTTGAGTTTTGCTTGATGTTGAGTTGATTTTGACTTGAGTTTGAGATTGAGTATGAATTTGTCTTGAGTTTTATTTGAGTTTGACTTGAGGTTGAGTTTGAGATGGAGTTTGAGATGAGTTCAAGATTGAGATTGAGTTTAACTTGAGTTTGACCTGAGTTTGAGATTGAGCTTGAGTTTGACTTAGGTATGAGGTTATGTTTGACCTAAGTTTGACCTGAGGTTGAGTTAGTGATCGAGTATGACTTGACGTTGAGTTTGACTTGAGGTTGAGATTAAGTTTAAGATTAAGTTTGATTTGAGTTTGAGTTTAACTTGAGTTTGAGGTTGAGTTTGTCCTGAGTTTGACTTGAGGTTGAGTTAAAAGATTGAGTTTGAGCTTGACTTGAGGTTAAGGTAGAGATTGAGTTTGAGTTTGACGAGGTTGAATTGAATTTGACTTAAGGTTGAGTTTGACTTGAAGTTGAGTTTGAGTTTAAGTTTAACTTGAGTTTGACTTGAGTTAGAGATTGAATTTGAGTTTGACTTGACACTGACTTGAGGTTGAATTGAGTTGTTTGTTTTCAATCCAACATATAAAAAAACGACATTCCTCTTAGATATTTATGACTGGGTACTTGAACCATACTGCTGGGGTCATGAGAGTATAAGATAAAACAACTGCTTATTGAACAAACACTTACGTCATTACCACTGCATGTTTTGAATCTATATATTACCTCATCCTCTTTGGCATAACGCTTGTCAAAGATAATTAATCATTCAAAGGTTGAAACCTCCCACCAGTGAAAAGCTCTCCCATCAGCATCCGCCACAGCCTGGTGGAGAGCCACTGGCCCCTCAGCGGTGGCAGGGTCTCCAGCTCCACATTCAAGCCTTCGCCAAACATGGCATACAGTGTGCTTTTCACAGTCTGCCTCTTCTGAAGGGTCTTTGGGAATAGCATTTGTAGGGCTGGCATTGTTCCAGTGTGGTGAGAAGAGAGGGACTGCCGTGGCTAAGGGTCAGGGTTAAGCTGACGGATTCTTCCAGAAAACAGGGGCTCACAGACAAGATGTTAATGACCTGAGCGATGACTCACCACTCAGGCATCCGTCACAAACATGCCTCGGTGCTGAAACACACATGAATGCAAACACAAACAAAAGAGCGCTGGATCGGTGAGGTATTGGGTACCTGACAGCCTTCGTATTGTTAACAACTTAGAATGATGAGAAGGTGGTTTCCTCCAGTAGAAAAAATATTATACGAAATACTGTGAAAAATTCTTTGCTCTGTAAAATTCTTTTCTGAACATCGCGAATTATGTAGCCAGAGGTACGTTTGGCTGCATTTCATTTTTTAAACAAACGCTACCGGGTGGTATGACGCCGTTTCTTTTCACACTTACCGGTTGACCGCTTACCTCCGTGTGGACGGCTTTCCCGCTGCAACTAGTTTGTCCGGTTAACTCTTCGTGTACGTTGGGGGACTTAAGACACCAAGAGGAGTTGACCAAGAGAACAGGGTTCGAGTCCGGGGAAGACCGGTTCCCGAAATTGATTGGTTGGTCGGTCAATCGGTTAGTCAATCAGTCAGTCAAACAGTCAGTCAACAGCGGCCTCTGGTGGGTTTACACGAGAACAGTGGGCACGAATGGCACTCACGAGTGAAATTTGAGAAATTAAAAAGTGCACACAGAGGCCTCTCGTGGATTCGCGAAAACAAAAACTGCATAAATACATACCTCCCAGGACGTATTTCGCTGTCTCCAGAAACGTATATACAACTCTGGCTCTGACCAGAATTTACAGTAATGAACGCGGTTATAAATGTATTAAAACATATGCTTGTTTGTTGTAAAAAAATGTGAATAATAACAAACATACTACTCTGTGCATCTCCTTGATTCCGTGTGCAGACTTGCTGCCATTGTAGAGGGTGTATTCTGGGAAATTTTCATACCCCTTAGTGGTCCTGAAAAATCTCAGCTTCAAGGACTATCTAACACTTTCCCCTTAGCTCTACACCTTCAAGCTAAAGTGAATTAGGACACCCCAATCCATTCACGTCAACACGCAAAACAAAAGGGGTAAGAGGAAGGGCTAGGGGTAGAATTAGGATTTAGCCTTATAGGAACATTATAAACAAGTTTACATTCACAGCTCTTACTAGCTGCCCTCATTTACACTCACCCCCTAAAGTCACCCTTCAACAAGATCTGAAAGGCGCGTTGCAACTGCTATCACACTAGAGAAATTTTCTTTTCATTAAGCCTGACTAATATCCATTTCACTTTTGGAATTAATTATTCACAGCTCAAATTAGTTCAATTTGAGTTCATTTTGCTTTTAATGTTGTACTGTCATTTTTCAACCAGAACAAGAAAATTCTCTACAAGAAAAAGGCCACTTCAATCAAGTCTAAATACAACATTACACACTACTTTTTAATTGGCTTAGTAAAAAAAATCTAGGAAAATCATATTAGGTTACCTAGTTGTTAGTTGCTCTTTTTTATTCTCACTTGTTTTGCTATCTGATCTTCCTTCTTGATGGGTTAGATATTCAGATTCTGACTCACTTAAGCAACAACCTGCAGGTCATGTGAGAGGAAGCTGTGCTATTAATACAGCAAACCAATTACCACCAATTTTATCTGGTTATCCACAATGAAGCTTTTTAGCTGTTCCCGCCAAAATGTGTCACATCGTTAGCATGCCATACAAACAAATGGACTTTATTTAGACCTGTAGTCAATGTCTGAAATGCATCTCAAGCCGAGAGACAAATGTGGAAGTGTTGTGCTTATACAGTAACTGAATAATTTGTGTAAGTGTTTGTGAGTGTGTGCATATTCCCACCTTAAGACAGCAGGCTTGCCGTTTTTTTAAGCGTAGTCTCTATTAGTGTTAGCTGGACACGCAGCTCTAAGGGGGCATAATTGGGCAGGAGAAAATGGAGTGGCTTGTGCTTGTGAAAAAAAAAACACGACGAGGTCTCTGTGCTTGAATGAGACTAGAGGATGGTATTTACATGCAAATTGCATCTGGTCTTCTAACTGTCTAGTTACCTCACCCTTTTAAGCCGCTGGCCCACTTATCATGCTGTTTACACAATAAACACCACAATAAGGTTAATGTCTTTTGATGCATCTGGCTAAATGCAATATTAGCATCAACAGTTGCGTAACCTGGCTCCTTTTATTACAAACAGCTGCTGGGCAACTGTGAATCATGGCAAGTCACTTTTTGGGGTTTATTTTGGTCTCCTAGGCAACGGAATGGGGGCCAGACGAAGACACCAGGAGGTCCTGTCAAAGCAAAGGGAAGACGGAGGTAACTTTAAACCCCCAGGTTCTCTGTTGAATAGGCACATTTCTTTCAAAACGCTGACAGCTCATTGGCTAAAGGGAGCGGTTATTGTTGAGGTTTGTGGGAGGGCAATATGTTCAGCTTACTTATTCAGTATTTTCAAAGCCCAGAGGTCAGTATTTTTTTTTTTGAACATATTACTCTCTGAATGGCAACAGCAAAAATGAAAATCCAATAGCAGAGTCAAGCATTACAGGGAATAGATTTTAAAATCCTTAAAGTGTTCAAGTAAATACTTATATTTAAAAAAAATTAAGAACAGGTTTTAACCAATCCTAAAATGTTTTTCATTTCAAGAGTTTTCTAGTAACTAAGGATGTAAAGGTTTATTTATGAAGCACCTTTCACAGACATTAAGTCACAAAGTGCTTTACAATAAGATAAAACCAGAAAACAGGTAAAAGAACACGTATAAATGAAAGAAAACATATTAAAAACGAGTTACATAATTACAGAAACACTAATACTGTCAATTAAAATCTTAACCAAAGAGATGTGTCTTTAAATAATTTTTAGAAAGCTCAACTTATCCTAGAGTTCTCATTGCTATAAGGAGAGAGTTCCAGAGCCACAGCACAGAAGACACGGTTACCTTTAGTCTTAAGATGAGTTCTGGGAATGGCTAAAAGATCTTTGCCTGAAAACCTCAGAGACCGGCTACATGAGTGACATTTCTGTCATTTCCATAATTTCCCCGATTGATGTGCAGACTTAGACTGAGCTCCTACACACCTTTGGTAAATAGTAGTTCGATTTCTACCTTGATGACCTATGCCAATTCTTCAGACCCATGAAACCCCCAAAAAATTATTATAAAAAAAATTACTTTTGGTTAGGATTTCTTTAAAGAAATCTCATTAAAAAATTCAATAAAAAAAATCTTTACTTGTTTCATTTAAAATCTAATTAAATTTGAAATATAGCATTAAAATGATTTTTAAGGATCATGTGAAACTATTATTATTATTATTATTTATTTATTTATTTTTGCATTAAATAAAAAAGACCTATGTCAATCCTTTGAAAACCCTGAAAAAAATGTTATAAAAAAACTTTTGTTTGGGATTTTTTAAAAGTAATCTCATTAAGAAATCAATCAAAAATCTAAATTTGCTCCGTTTAAAATCAAATTAAATTGGATATATAGCATTCAAATTATTTTAAAGGATTATGTGACACAAAAAGATTTATTAATGGCTGAAAAAATATTTCACAGTATTATTATTATTATTTTAATTATTTGTTTATGTTTGCAATAAATCAAAAAGGACCTATGATATCTTTCAGACCTATGCAAACCCCCCAAAAATAAATAAATAAATAAATAAATAAATAAACTTTTGTTTGGGAATTTTGGGAAAATCAAATTAAATTGGAAATATAGCATTAACATTTCTTTCAGGATTCCTAATAGCAAATTTCCATTTCTGTTTAGCATATCTAAATAACCAAATGATTGGCCAGAAAGTGTTTTCCAACCAGTACGCTAGTAAAACACAAAGTCAACACAAAATTCTGTTTATTTTCTTCACTGTAAACCTCTTTCCTGTCTTATAATTTGACAAAGCTGCCAAAACAGGTATTTTAACAAAATAATTCAATTAAACATTTAACGTAGGGAATTTATATCACAGCAGCCCATTCTCAGTGATACATTTCTATATCATTCTGAAGATAAAAATAATGAACTCTACATGCTGGCATTTTCTTTCCCAAAAAGACTGCATAAATCAGTTGATTCCCTTAGCTGTTAATTTAAGACACATGGCTTCATGCCTCAGCAATGTTAAGGTGCTTCTCACATCCTTTCCGTTTTGAAGCGCTGTCACTTTAACAGTCAGCTGCGCAAAACGGCTGATGCTATGACACACTGATCCAATGTTATATGGGATTATTTTTGGATTGTATTATTACAAATGAAAGCTGAAGTAATCTCAGTTTTTGAAGCTTTAGTGCTCTCACTGGAAATACAGGCTATGAAATGACATGTTAGAATTTTTGTCATAGTAGGATAAAGGACATTTTTATATTGATTTTGAAGTGGTTTTCATTCAGTATGATTGAGCAAGACTTTAAAAACTACCTCAGAGAGAACAGACTTTAATTAAATTTGACAGTCAGGACAGTTTATATGTTTTTGTATGTTTCTATTCATAACATCGTGTGATTGAGGGGGTTTTCAGTGTTGATAGAAGTAGGACATTTTTTCACCAAATTGTCATATTAAAATGATTTTAAACGTTCATGTGAAACTGGAAGATTTAGAAATGGCTGAAAATATATTTTACAATATTATTATTATTATTATTATTATTACTTAATTTATTAGTTTATTTTTTATATTTGTTTTTGTAATTTCTTAATAATTTATAAGCCTATATATTTTTATCAAATAAATTTAGTTTGGAGAGACTTTTAAAAAAATATCAAGAAAATTTCTAACTAAGACCAAGCCTAAAGTTTTGTTTGGGATTTTTTTTAAATACACTGTAAAAAAAATCTGTAATTTTAGCTGGGGTGCTGGTAAAAATAATAAATAGAAAAAAACGTAAAATAGCGGCCGTTAAATTACAGAAATTCACAGAAAATAATAAAAACAAAATAAAAACTATTTCCTTAAATTAAAATGTCTGGTAAATTTCTGTAATTCAGCCTCTGTAATTTTACAGTAAATTTCTGTAATTTAACGACCGTTATTTTCCTTTTTTTTCTAGCACCCAAGCTGCTGAAAATGAATCATAAAATTACAGATTTTTTTCAGTGTAGTCTTATTTGAAGAATTCAAACTAATTTTTTTTTTTGGAAATATGCCATTGGCATTTCTTTAAAGTTCCTTTAAAGGATTTCTGAAGGCAAATTTCCATTTCTGTTTAACCGAATGATTGGCCAGAATTCTAACCCAGTACACTAAATCCACAACCCCCCTTAATTTTCTTTAAATGTCTTTCCTGTCTTTTAATGTGATGGAGCTGCCAAAAGCTGGCCTTTTAACAAAATTATTCAATTAAACATTTAACATGGTGAATTTATGTCACAGCATGCATTTCTATATTTTGAAGATACCGCTGCTATTGTCATACTATAAAATGCCTCTTCCCCTGCAGCTGGAGTGTCAAAACTACATCCGGGTGCTGCTTGTCAACAAGACAGAGGTGGTCACCTGCGGGACAAATGCCTTCCAGCCTCTTTGCATCACCAGAGAGGTGAGCATCTATCAGTTAAATGAGCTGTCTAAACCGGAGCTTTTCTCAAAGTGTGCGTTTGATTCATACCGCATCCTCCTCTCAGGCAGGGAACATGAGCAGAGTGTTGGAGAGGGTGAACGGAGTGGCCCGCTGTCCCTATGACCCCCGTCATAACTCCACAGCGGTGGTGACTGAAAGTGGAGAGCTGTACGCTGCCACGGTCATCGATTTCTCTGGACGGGACCCTGTCATCTACCGCAGCCTTGGAGGAATGCCGCCTTTGCGGACCGCCCAGTACAACTCCAAATGGCTTAATGGTACATTAACCTCATCATCTCTTGTCTGATGGTTTCATATCCGTCAGAGATCGTCTGAAAAGCTTCAACGTTTCTCTTACAGCTCTTTCTTCTTTCTGTCCTAATATGAAGCAATGACAGAACGTTGGTCTTAAAGTGAAAAGTGATTATGAGACTTCGAGTTTGTGTATGCTAATAGCATTACCCAAAGGAAACAGCAATGAGGTTAAGCTGAAAACAAAATGTGCTTTTTGCTTAATTCTCCCAATGACTTGCTGTAAGTCTGAATTTGAAGTATTCTTGCATTTTTTTGTAAATATTAGAAAAACATGACAATGTTCTCAGATTTGCCAAGAGACATAAAACTCAGAACAGAAGAAAAATAAAATAAAAGAGGTTTTAATTTGAGCTATCATGAAGTGAGATGTATTTATTTTTTTATTTTCCTCCAGTATTGCATAAAAAAATGTATATTTTTTTATTTTATTTATTTATTTATTATTATTATTATTATTATTATTATTATTATTATTATTATTATTATTATTATTATTATTATTATTATTACATCTAAGAAAATTGTCTGAGACAAAACTTCATAACTAATTTAGTATTCTGAGTGCCTAAAGAGCAACATTTGAGCAACTACACCCTTGCCTGGTGTTGTGGGTGCTGAAATATACACACAGTTGAATTATACACAGAATTATTAGCCCCTCTGAATTATTAGACTGATTGTTTATTTTTTCCGTGATTTCTGTTTAACGGAGAGCAGATTTTTTTCAACACATTTCTAAACATAATAGTTGTAATAACTCATCTCTAATAACTGATTTATTTTATCTTTGCCATGATGACAGTAAATAATATTTGACTAGATATTCTTTAAAAACCCTTCTATACAGCTTAAAGTGACATTTAAAGGCTTAACTAGGTTAATTAGGTTAACTAGGCAGGTTTGGGTAAAAAGCCAAGTTATTGTATATTGATGGTTTGTTCTGTAGATTATCGAGAAAAAATTTAGCTTAAAGAGGCTAATAATTTTGTCCATAAAATGGTGTTCAAAAAATTAAAACCTGCTTTTATTCTAGCAGAATTAAAACAAATAAGACTTTTTTCCAGAAGAAAAAATATTATCAGACATACTGTGAAAATTTATAGATAGATAATTTTTTTGCAGATACTGCAGATACTATTGAATTATAGTTTGTGGCAATACTTTAAATTACATGTAATTTTAGATATAAAATTAATATCTGTTTATAATAATTTATAAAAATAATGATTTTCATTAATTATGAAAATACATATATATATATATATATATATATATATATATATATATATATATATATATATATATATATATATATATATATATATATATATATGTGTGTGTGTGTGTGTGTGTGTGTGTGTGTGTGTGTGTGTGTGTGTGTGTGTGTGTGTGTATTAGCATTGATTAATCTTGGAGTCCTTAAAAATATGTTCTAATATGTCTTATTTAAATTAGTTGGCTTAATTGATTTATGGCTTTAAACCAAAGCACAATACTTACAAACCAACTGAACTTCATTTCGAGTAGCAAAACATACTTTATGGTTTTAGTTAATATTAAGAAGCAATTTTTATTCTGACATACTGCAAGTGACTTAGCTAAATTATGTACTAAAGCTTAAACTAAAATGAGAATGTTTATTCTGGCAAAATTGACTTTTTATGTTTTATTTTGGTTAGCTTTAATTTAATTTTAGATGATTTTAGTAATGTTGATAGTGAAGAGGTTCCTCTTACATACTATAAGTTCATCAATATGTGCTTTTTTCCCCTTTCCTTTGGGAAGTAATATTACCATTCAAAAATTCAAGAAAGTCTCTTTGTAACTTCCATTAACATTATTCTGCAATCTGGCTACATGCAGTATTATTTAATAACCATAGTTAATAACCAGAGTGTTTGCTCTGACCTACATTACTGTAGGTGTATATGACGAGTCCCTTCGTGATGCCTAGTCTTAGCTTTAGATGGTTCTTCAGCAAAGAGCAACAAAAGCACAGCTACCCTCTCACAATTGTATCTTTTGTGTCTAGGGCAGAATTTTAGAGCTGCCTTGGCCTGTCAGCAGAGAAACCAGTCAAGCAAAGAGACAAACGAAACTCAGCACACTTCCTGCACAAAGTCAAAAGGTGTCAATAATCTCCCAGCTGCTGACACTGTGCCTTTTCCCAAAGAAAATTCATCCAACACCATTCAAAACAGAAAAGGCAGAAAGTTTGGATGTTGGAGCTGTAAGCCATACAGAGGAGGTGTCAGGGAGTAGTTCTGGTGAAAGAGAAGAGTTAGCAATGGTGGTGCAAGTGTAAGACTGGGCGAAACGGACTAATGTTCAGACATCCAGCAGTGTAATTATTCCTCATGGCCGAGAGAGGGTGAAATTGCAGCTGCAACGCTTCATGTCACCCAGTCGGGCTGTAGTTCCTCTGTAGGTTCACACTGGAGGAGGGAGAAAGACAAAAGAAGTGCACATTCACCTGGGGTTGGAGTTTCATAAAATTGAGAATAAGGGTTATTTTGTGTATATTATGGATGATAATTTCCTCCCATTTTAAACTGCTTAGCTTTTGTAAAATTTGTTAAAGGAATAGTTCAACTAAAAAATGTAATTTACTTACTATTTATTCACCTTTAAGTGGTTTCAAATCTTTATGAGTAAAGAAAATAAAATATATTTTAAAGAAAGTTAAAAACTTGAAACTTTCATAGTGAGAAAAATAAAAACTATGGAAGTCAATAGTCACATATATTTTGTGTTCAACAGAAGAAAGAAAGTCAAACAGATCTGGAACAATTGAATGTTTCCATGGCCATCAGACTTGGTCCTTATTTTATGACAATAGCATGTAAAATAAATTTTTGACTATTTATGTTAATAAAATCAGCACAAAAAGTTTCTAAAAATGTTTAAAATGTATACTAAATTGAACTGTTAAAATCAGTTTTAATTTAACCAGAACTACACCAGCATTATACAAGGTGGGCCATTTATATAGAAACAACTTAATAAAATGGGAATGGTTGGTGATATTAAATTACTGTTTGTGGCAAATTAGTATATGTGAGGGGGCAAACTATTCAAGATGGGTGGTGACCATGGTGGCCATTTCGAAGTCGGCCATCTTGGATCCAACTTTTGTTTTTTCTATAGGGAGAGGGTCATTTGACACATCAAACATACAGGAAATTCACAAGCAAAACAATGATGTGCTTGGTTTTTACGTAACGTTATTATTGTATGAGTTATTTACAAGTTTCTGACCACTTATAATATGTGTTTAATGTGCTGCCCAATTTGTTGGATTGTTAATGCAACACTCTTCTCCCACTCTTCACACACTGATAGCAACACCACAGGAGAAATGCCAGCACAGGCATTCCAGTATCCGTAGTTTCAGGTGCTGCACATCTAGTATCTTCACAAGATAGTGGGGTCATTCTTCATCAATGAAAACCTCAAGGCCACTGGATATTTGAAATTGCTACATGATGATGTGTTTCCCTCTTTATGCACTGAAACTGGCACGTTCCCTGAGTTTTTCCAGAATGATGGTGCACCACCACAATTTGGGTGTCAGGTCCGAGCATTCCTAGATGTACAGTTTGCTGAAAAGTAGATTGGTCATCGTGGGCCAGTTGATTGGCCTCCGAGGTCTTCCAATTTGACCTCCTTGGACTTTTATCTTTGGGGTCATCTAAAGGCAATTGTCTATGGTGTGAAGATACAAGATGTGCAGCACCTGAAACTACTGATACTGGAATCCTGTGCTGGTATTTCTCCCGCGGTGTTGCTATCAGTGTGTGAAGAGTGGGAGAAGAGGGTTGCATTGACAGTCCAACACAATGGGCAGCTCATTGAACACATTTTATAAGGGTTTTATGCCTGATATGCTGGAATGTTCCACTATCTGAATCATTGTTGGCAGGAACCTGCTGAAAAACAGCATTCATGATGAGTCAGGCCCGATTATCTTTTAATCTTTACCTGTTTAAAAAAATATATAAATAAATAAATTAAAATAAATAAATTATGGTTATCCAAAAATGTTTTATCCGTTTTTTCCTCTATTTTCCATCTGTGGTATCTCCTTTGACACAATCTACATAATAAAAGTGCTATAATTATAAAGAGCAAGTGAATTGAGTTAAAATCTGGCCTAAATGTAACTGAAAAATTGTATTTAAGAGGAAAATAAAAACCTCTTATTTAATGTATAGTTGTTTTAGCTATTGTAACATAGTTATTTACCTAATAATAGGTAACAACATTATCAAGATTTCCACCAATAGTTTGCTCTCTCTTCTCAAATACACCTTCATCGCAACTAAAGAAAAACTGCTAACCTTTTCAATCACGTTTCTTAGCTGGATGCGGAATGAATAGAGATGTGAATGGAGGTGTGAATTAAAAACATATTTCACAATGGGGGTCAAAAAAAAAAAGAACAGCATAAACCTCGAGAGTCTATCTGGACTGTTTTTGTAGTGGCCCTGCCAGGTGCTGACTGAATTTTTTTTAACACTGAGCCTGTGTGGGGTCGGACCCAAAGTGAGATGTGATATTGTTTTTTAGCACCACTCTGATTCAATGAGGAATAGCATCATTGCCAACAGCGTGGCTATTAGCACATGCCTCTCTCCTCTGGAGCTTATTGGGACTCGTAATTCACTTTCCAGCTTAGTGTTTTCCCCTGACTGCAGCCCGCAGATAAAAACACACACACGTACAGGGACCCCTGATGGAGTGGCGGTGTGGAAATGAGGCTGTATTTACGCTCGACGTGAAAGAAGGAAAATACCATTTGTCATGTGCGCTCCCTTACAAATCAGCGCACTCGCACCCTGCCCGATGCAGCTATGCAAAATGACTTGATTAATTCATGCAGTCACAGGGAAGTAATTGTTGTAGTGCTGAATGCGTCAGTTTTGGTATTTACTGTGTTTCTCTCAGACCACATTCTTCAGTCTAATAGGTGGAAGTGCAGTTATGATGTTTCATTGCAAATTTAAATGGAAGATATATTTGTTTGACAGCAATCCTCACATGCATTATAGACAGAGACATTTATATTCATTCATTTTCTTTTCGGCTTTATTAATCTGGGGTTGCCACAGGGGAATGAACCGCCAACTTATCCAGCATATGTTTTAAGTAACGGATGCCCTTCCAGCTGCAACCCATCACTGGGAAACAAGACATTTATATATTTTAAATTTCACCCCTTGCAAAATGTTCCTTGGTAGAGGGTGGTGTAGAAGGTTAATGTCAGGGAAATTTTATTCTGCTTTATGTTATAATCATACAGCCCACCAAGCAAGTTTGTGTCTAATAGACTTAAACATTGACAGCTTAACTAAAATTTCAAGAGTTTACAATTATCTGATGATTATTTCTATCTCTGACAGCATTTGAGAGTTTCCTTGGCTGTGTTTTGGATCATTGTCTTTCTTAAACGTCCATTCTGGTTTCATCTTCATAGTCCTGCTAATGTAGATGTTGGACTGAAGCAGCTAATATTAATTTACAATGGCCAAGGGCAGAGGGTTGCTGAAGAACTACTGAGAGATTTCAGCTTCTGTCTGGGCTTTCACTGCCTTTCTACAGCTTTCCTCATGTACTCAATATTTGTTTCCTGTGTCATTTGATTTTATTACACATAACTTGATTTGTAAACTAATTAGATTTGTTTCCATTTCGTTCATATATGCATTTCTTTGGTTGTTATCTATCTATCTATCTATCTATCTATCTATCTATCTATCTATCTATCTATCTATCTATCTATCTATCTATCTATCTATCTATCTATCTATCTATCTATCTATCTATCTATCTATCTATCTATCTATCTATCTATCTATCTATCTATCTATCTATCTATCTATCTATCTATCTATCTATCTATCTATCTATCTATTTGTAATCATTACTATCTAATGTAATCATTTCCACACAATACTATTGTGGTTTGAAATAATTGCAGAATCATATGGGTTGCGTTAATGGTTTTGTGATTCCTACACTTGGTGCAATACACAAAGGTCCAGCTTTGACCAGATCAATCTGACACAATTTGTTTATGCAGATCTAGCAGTAGTAATTTCTTCTGTCCCATGGAGAGTTTTTCTGTGGGCTGTTCCTGGGTCTCTGTCCACTGAGATTTGCTATTTATTGTGTTTAAAATTGAATCAAAAACAGTTATGGCTATTGATGGCTCTCCTGGGCTTCACAGCGTAACAGTAATCTCATTCCCCTAAACTGCTGCGATGGCCCCAGCAGTGATTACAGTCATGCCTATTTACAGGTGAATATCTACAGCTTGCATTACTGGATGAGCTAGGGAATAAACAGGCCTTGGGGGCGAGACATTATTCAGAGTGTGCGATATTAACTCTGACTAATGCAATCCAGACCACCGCCACCTGGTCTGACGGGACAGCTTTGTGTATTGAAAATCATTTTTGCACAGTTTTCTGCTCTAGTTCTAAGTGGATATAAAAAAAAAAAAACAGGGAACGGGATTCACGCCAGTTTTATGTGAAAGTAACGCCATTGCTTTTGCATTTAAGCTACTTTATGCAGTATTACTGATTTTTGCTAGAGATGTTCCCATTTGAAATGCTTGTTTTACCCATAAGGACTTTATCCACGCTTTGTTTTCCTTTTCCTTTAGAGCCTCACTTCATCTCGGCTTATGATGTGGGTCTTTTCACCTTCTTCTTCTTGAGGGAGAACGCAGTGGAGCATGACTGCGGTAAAACGGTGTACTCACGGGTGGCGCGGGTGTGTAAAAATGACATTGGAGGCCGATTCTTGCTGGAGGACACGTGGACCACTTTTACGAAGGCCCGACTCAACTGCTCGCGGTCAGGAGAAATCCCTTTCTACTATAATGAGCTACAAAGCACCTTCTACCTGCCCGAACAGGACCTCATCTATGGGATCTTCACCACCAATGTGTAAGTTTAGTATGGAACACAATTGCTTTGCAAAGTACTAAGGTATGACATGCTACACTCCATCTAAAATGCCTTTCAAAAAGAAAAAGAAAGAGGGAAAAAATGAAATGGCATGAGTTAGAGATGCTTGATATAGGATTATAGCCAATATTGATTGCCGATCATGATGTCTTTTTGGTGCTGGGTGTTTTTAGAAGTGTTATTTTACAAGACTTCGGTCAAATGCAAATTGCAACTGTACTGAATGAAAAGTTCCCTTCAGACTTATACTGTAGCAGAGTTTTCACTTACAGTAAGGTGTGATTTATTTTCCACAATATATATTGCTTATACAGCAAATATGGTAGTATATAATTGTCAATACACTCCCTATGTTTGCCCATCTCTGCCGTTCTTCACACTCATTTGATCTATTTCTTCTTGTCTCCTTTTCCTGTCCCCTTTCGCTCACTGCCCCGGTAGGAACAGAATATGGTAATGCAATCAGAACAACAGAGTCTCCATCTGTCTGTGGTAAATTGAACACCTTAAGCAATGCTCCCTGGGGTTTGGGCCTGCAAACAGAGAGGGCAGGCCTGGGACGAGTGAAGCGAGGCAGAACAAGAGAGCAGCCAAAAATGCCTCCAAAGTCTTAGTAGTAGTTTGTCCGGAGGTATTGGCAGCGGGAGTGTGTGCTTTCAGTGAGTTGGCTGAAGGTGTCAAAGCATTAAATGTCCTCACACTGAGTGCACCGACAGTTTGTTATGTATTAGATTTATTGTTAAAACTACTCAAGGTAATGGACTTAATATTTTACGCTATTTTTTTTATTTTTGTACACAGTCAGCAAAGTAACATGGATAGATACTTACATTCACATTACATTTAGTCATTTAGCAGACTCTTTTGTCCAAAGCAACTTACAATTGAGGAGGAATTCAGCGACACAACAAGAAGAGGCAATACACACAAGAAGTGCTAATTATTCAAAGTCACTTGTTTGTGCTCAGGGTATTTAGAGGATTTCTTTTTCTTTTCTTTTTTTGAGATAGAGAGAGAGAGAAGGAAAGAGGGAAAAAGTGCCTCTACACTCTCGGAAATATAGGTACAGAATCTGGGGCAGTACCTTTTTAAAAGATACATATTTGTATCCATAGAGTCCACAGTCGTACCTCAAAGGTGCATATTAGGGCGCACATGTACCTAAAAAGTACATTTGGTGTACCATTATAGACCCTTCAGTTACAAATATTCAGTTTTTGCATGTCCTCCCCATGTTGGTGTGGGATTCCTCCAGGTGCTCTGGTTTCCCCAATAGTCCAAAGACATGCGCTATAGGTGAATTGGGTAAACTAAATTGGCCGTGTTTCCCAGTACTGGGTTGCAGCTGGAAGGGTGTCCGCTGTGTTAAACATAAGCTGGATAAGTTGGCGGTTCATTCCACTGTGGAATGAGTCCCTAATGAATAGTCCCTAATGAATAAAGGGACTAAGCCAAAATAAAAAGTAAATTAATAAATGTATTAATTTTAATGAAATTTCAATTATTTTTCAAATATTTAGAAAAGTGCTGTTTACTGTTTTGACACACCTTTTTAAACTTATAGTTACGCATTTCTATAAAATAAGTTCTCTTGCCTTTTTTGTACAAAGATAATGATTATATTATACTAGGTTAACTAGGTTAATTGGTTAGCCATTTTAGTTTAATTAAGCAAGTCATTGGACAAAGTGCTTTGTTATGTAGCCAATCAATAATAATAAAAAAAGTTATTTCTTAATGGAGGCAATAAAATTGATCTTCAATTATAAAATAAAATTATAAAACTTTTTTTTCCAGCAAAACTAAAAGAAATAAGATTTTTGTGTTTTTGTGTGTGTGTGTGTGTGTGTGTGTGTGTGTGTGTGTGTGTGTGTGTGTGTGTGTGTGTGTGTGTGTGTGTGTGTGTGTGTATGTGTGTGTGTGTGTGTGGAAAAGTCTTATTTGTATTATTTCAGCTAGAATAAAAGTAGTTTTAATTTTTTTTTAATTGTCAAAATTATTATCCCCTTTAGACTATATATATTTTTGAAAGTCTACAGAAGAAACCATCACTATACAATAACTTGCCTAATTACCCTAACTTGCCTAGTTAACCTAATTAACCTAGTATAACCTTTAAATGTCACTTTAGGCTGTATAGTGTCTTGAAAAACATCTAGTCAAATATAATTTACTGTCTTCATAGCAAAGATAAAATAAAACATATTATTAGAGATGAATTATTTAAACTATTATGTTAAGAAATGTGTTGAAACAATCTTTTTTGCGTTAAACAGAAATTTAAAATAAGCAGGGGGGGGGCTAATAATTCTGACTTTAACTGTATATATAACAGTTTGGTGTGATCATCTCAGCTGTTTTATGATTTTAAGTGTTCATAAACTTAACTTGAACATCAGCATGTTTCGTTAAATTGCTGTTGCTGCATTTTATAAAAGCAGCAAGTCATGACAGTTTGCACTTTGAAGCAATTTTATCTTTCTTTTTAAGTTTTTTCTTTGATGTCTTTTGTATGCTGTTTCTCTCTTGCTTATAGTTTTTTTTTCTAAAAATGAAACTTATTACATGACTCTTGATTCTAATTGGTCAGTCATCCACATGTGTGGTCAAATCATTTGTATAATGATCATTTAAGAGTAAAAGTGACTGTGGAAAATTATTTTTACGTGGCTATGCTAGTTTTATGTGTAATGTATCACTTACCAGCCTCTTTCTTCTCATCTAAGTAAATTTGAGATCATTTTATTAACTCTTTATTACCCTTTCTAGGTTTACTTTTTTACATTTTCCCATGTTTAGCATCTACTGACCTGTTGTGTGTTTTGGTATGAGGATTAGGGAAATATTTACTGTATATAGAAACATTTGAAGGTATTTAGTAAAGGTTTCTTTTTTATATTTGTAGTTGTTTTCAGTTGTTTTTTATTAACTTTTTGAATGAATAGCTGCCAGACTTATTTCTGTAAAACAGCCTCAGGTTAACAAAGTGTAACAGACCTATTGGCAGCTAGCATGATGACAGGCGACCTCTCTGGAAAACAGATCCGCAGGTGTGAATAAATACGTCTATCATGAATACACACACTTTCATGCCTGAATTACAACAAATACAGAATAACAGTCAAGTGCATCTCTTTGCTCACTACGATGCAGCATAACAAAATCCACCTTGAAATGAGTTTTTGTACCCTGTAGAAGGAATCATTGCTTTGAGTTTATTCCATGCATATGTCTTTCATGTAGATATATGGAGGGGGTGTTATTAAGGGATTCTGCTTTCTTGTTTTTCATCTGTCTGGAATTGAAGATGCTCAAACTGTATAATCAGTACACCAACGAAGCATACTTTATGTATAAATAATTGTGCAATAATTGTGCATTTAAATATTTTATGTATACCTAACTTTAATGTAAATATAAATTAAAAATGATTTTTTAAAATAGTTGTTACATGAAAATTAAAAAGCTCTATAGAATATGCAAGGTTATGCAAGTTAAACTAGCTGCATGTATGATATTTAACTCTCAAAGTAATTGTTCACCCAAAGTTGAGAGTCTAAAAAACATTTACAGACAAAATTATATTAATACCCGTGGCTACTTATGATATGTTAAGAACTCAATATTATTTACTACATTATTACCTTTGATTAATTTTGACATATACAAAATGATTTTTTTTCATATATTCATTTTAATTTACCATCTATTTTTAATTACAATTTAAATTTAATTTTAATTTAAATTGACATTTAATTTTATTTTTTATTTAAATTTTTTATAATTTTTTTTATTTTATTTCATTTAAAATGTTATTTCATTTGTTTTATTTTCATTTTATTTTATTTTACATTTAATTTATTTTAATTTACAATGTATTAATTAATATTAGATTTAATTTTATTTTACATTTTATTTATTTTAATTTTCATTTCAATTTAAAATGTATTTTTAGTTAGCATTTTAAATTTATTTACATTAGATTTTACATTTAATTTAATTTTAATTTATTTTATTTACAATTTTATTTTATTTTAAATTTTATTTTATTTAAAAAAAACATTTTTTTTATTTTTCATTTTACTTTATTTTTCGTTTAATTTATTTTCATTTACAATTTATTTTTAATTCATTCAGTCATTCATTTTCTTTTTGGCTTAGTCCCTATTTATCTGGGGTCACCACAGCGGAATAAACCATCTACTTATCCAGCATATGTTTTACGCAGCAGATGCCCTTCCAGCTGCAACCCATCACTGGGAAACATCCATTCACACACACTCATTCACACACATACACTACGGACAATGTAGACTACTCAATTCATCTATACCACATGTCGTTGGACTGTGGGAGAAACCAGAGCAGTTACTTTCTTGCTGTGAGGTGATTGTGCTATCCACTGCGCCATCTTTACATTTCAATTTACAATTTTAAATACCATTTTAAATTTATTTAAATACTTTTTATTTTATTTTTTTTTTGTTTTGTTTTATTTTATTTTATTTTATTTTATTTTATTTTATTTTATTTTATTTTATTTTATTTTATTTTATTACTTTCAAAGTGTCAAAGTTGCTACCTTGCATTTTACAAGTCACCCATTCATGAGTGCCCATTGTTTTAGCTTAAAATCTGCTGAATTATGAAATTTCATATTACTATTATTGATAAAATTTTAATAATTAGAACTCTTTTTAAAAATGCTTGAGTGCACGTTTCCACAAGGGCAGCTATTATTGTGCTCTGAAAAATATTTCAGAATAATCTGGCCTCTGTGCTGGCTGTGGAAGTTTGCTGAGTTGGCTCTTTGTTTTCTGCTACGATGCAGGTATTCACTGAAGTTGAAACACTGAAATAATGTATTTGCTTTTTTTCCATTTTCCCTTGGGTGCTGCCCTACTTTATGTCTAAATCATCTATACGGACCTCTTAGATGACCTCAAATGACCCTGTCCTTTTTTCTATATTACATATTC